ACGAGAAGAGCGTGAGGAACGGGGTTCAGGGATGTCTACGGCGTCAGGCAATAAACTGCAGACTCTATGGGATCACTTCATTCACGCCAAACCTCAAAGTTACGAGGTATGTCTGCGATTTCCGAAATCAATCCTTTTTTATTTTATTTTATTAGTTTTTTAATGTTTTTCTGAATTTATTATCTTTTGTCGTTTAATATAAATCGACTTGATATAAATTAATAATTTATATCAAATATTTAGTATAAATCGATAATCGATTTGATTACTGTTCCATAAAAAGTTTATTCCAACGAAGATTACTTTTTTAGCATATAACGTATAGCGCGGAAATAATTATTGTCAAGTTCAACCCTAGCTATGATACGAAGCCCATTGCTTCGTAATCGGATTGTTTTTGCAACTATATACGCCGCATTGTAGTGGCTTGCAGAAGGGACAGACGCCTTATAAGTTATTCAATACTTTCTACATATATTTCGTGGAAACTGTTGAGATAACACATAGTTATTATTGTCGATAACATTGTATCGCTTTATTGTTTAAAGATAATTTCAGGAACTGCTTATATTTTGTTTCATGAAATTATTTTTAATTTTTTAAATGAAAGTTTTCAACTATTTTCCGCGCTGCTTTGATGAATATCTTTTAGTTCTTAATAATTGATTAAACGATGATTGATTTTGCATATTTCGCTATCATTTAATAATAAAATAAAGAAACTATATATAATTATATTAAATACATCGACAAAAAATGTGGCACACGCATTTATTTTTAAATGTGTATTTATTATAAAATTCTAATTTTACTCCAAATGGCGCATTTTTATTGTGATCGGTTATTTCCATTATGAGTCACGCGTGTACGTGCTCGACTGCACGATTGCACGTGATAGTAAATATATAGATTATTTGTCGCATATATTAAAAGCAGCTCCTATTTCCATCTATGAAGAACATTGAAAATTTATAGTGTTCTAGTTTTCATATCTAAATTCTTTTATTAAATTGCATCAGCAAGTACCATAAGCAGTGTGCTACAAGTACGTCATTTTGCTGATTACATTTCGTCATTTTGCAATATTTAATCATTATGTTTTTTCATTCGCTAACGTTGATTACTGTATCATACGCGCAGTGATGCGAGAAAATTATCTTAATCAACTTTGGCAAATGAAGAGTTCCCCGTTCTTTTTTATCTCGAGCATATTCGCGCTACTATTCACTATCTCGCGCGAGATATTTTAACGTGGCTTGTTTTTTTTTCTTAAGAACCGCATCAAGTCTGGCTGAGTCGCCAAACTCGTGTTTATGTATTGTGTATAATTAACGGCACTAATTGTGCGTTCCTATTTCTATAAATTAAGCACACATGTTTTTTCAACATTAGTAAACATTAATCTTAATGTTTGTTTCAGAAATCATCTTGGCTGGATATATTTTTAGCAGAATTGCTCGCGCAGATTAAGGAAGGCAAAGACGTGAAAGATGTTCTGTCCTTTTGGTGAGAATTTTACTCATTAATCTGTTTATTACATTAATCTGTTTATGAACTTCTATACGAATTCTGCGAAATATTTCTCGTAAGACTTACGCAATACTTTCAGAGAAGCGTATCTGATTACATGCATTTTTTGCGACTTACCGTCTTCGTTCCAACCGCAGAAAATTCGATCGCACCTTTGCGGTTGCGGAAAACTTTTACTTTTACTTGATACGGTCTGCTAGTCTTTTTTCTATCTTTTTCTTATCAATTGCTTCCTCGTATCAATCAAATATTTATTAGTTTTACTCATTTAATTTCAATAACGTGTTATTTGCACATATTGTACAATATAAAAAGTCATTGACTCTTTTATTTTGCATTATGTATCACTTTCTGATAAGCACTAACAATACGACACGTTTTCCTTATTGCTGAACGCAATAAGCAATACGAATATCACCTGAGCTACTAAAAAGAACAAGATATGTACGAGTCGCAATTGCCTTATCTCGCTGATAAACTCACACCTCGATCATTGGATAAGGCGGTAAAAAAAATATAAATGGAATGTGTTTATTTTAGTGCGGTTGGCGGTGGCGGCGTGTCGACCCTCGTGGCCTGCGAATTGCTCTCGGACGTGCACGAGTTATGCGGAAAGAGAAACGACGGCAGCGAGCTGCTCGGTCTGCGAAAGTATTTGGTCCATGATCGCGGTTGGCGTTGTCTGGCGGTGCTGCATCTACTGGGTGTACGCGGTTTGTCTTGCGGTCGCGAGCTGGTCGCGCTGCTGGTTGCTCTCTATCCCGTTGCGCTGCAAGAAGGAACGAACGCTAAGACCGGCTTGTCCGCCACGTCGCAAAAGTCCGACGTCGCGGAGCCGTCGATACGCAATCAATACATAAAATTTCATTGTAACGACGATACTATCGACACATTGGACATCGCGCTGCACACGAAACGCAAGAGCGCCAAGGATTCCGGCCACAGGGGTTTCTCTCATGAGAACGATGCGCTTTCGCGCAAGAGATCCAATCACAAACAAGTTGTCAGTGCTACAAAACTTCGTCAATCGACCAGTTACAAGCAGAAGAGATCATCGATCTTGGAAACGCGGCGCAACACACCTGAAGATGCTACAAGCAGCGAGTCCGAGCCATTGACGGACGATGTCGATCCGGTGCGTTCTCTCACCCTAAAGATCCGCCTGAATCCGATGGATTTCGAATACTTTACGTCAGTCGTCAGAAGCGACGAGGAACAGAAGTGGAAGGCCGAGCTATATGAGCTACCGCCTCGTCCTGTGAGAAAAACGCAGCGCGACTATGTCGACGAGAGGATTCAAGACGTGCTGGACGCCAAGATCAGCAACTTCGAGATTAGTCTACTGATCATACAGCTGCTGCAAGGCTTACGCGACTATGACACACCCGCTGAGCAAACGCCGGCCGTGCAGGTTTTGAAATTCGCAGTGGACACACTGTGGTCGCTGCAATTTGGCATTGACGACAACAACTTGAACGGTACGGAATGCGCCACTCTGAAGGCGGCAGCCGCCAGATTGATGTTGACGGCTTTGGAGCGTGCTTTGAGAGCCGACGAACCTACCACGGCTGTCATTCACAATGGTTTGCTGCCGATGACTCTCAGATTGCTGGAGGACGCCTGCAGCAAGCCGGTGAACGTTTTGGGACCGGAAGAAGGTTCGCTTCTGCAGGAATTTATTTTCGCTACCATCTACGGGATCGTCACATTTCTCTACTGCCTGTTGCACCAGCGTGGCGGCAATGTCGACAAGCTGTCGGATTTCCTCGAGCTGTTCCGACTCTTCATCGAGAGCCAGGACGGCAAGCTCGTCGAGAGAACGGTGCTCGCCATCATCGATCTACCCAGTGCCGATTCAACGAAATCGATAGTGCGCGCCAAGAAGATAATCGACATGATAGGCGCGCTGACCAGCGGCTTGAAGCGCGTCCGCCGGGATCTCGCGCACGCCGCGCAATGCCACAGGACCAAGCACAAATCTTGCATCGACAACGTTCAGAGTCATCATCACTCGGATGTGCTCGGAACACCGTATTCCGTCGATGCAGCCAATAAACAAATGTGTTGTATTTCCTCGTTATTCGCGATGCTCACTAGTTTACTGAAGGAGTCTCATCTATTTACAAGCGAGCTGCGGATAAGACTGATCAGAATCACGACTGCCGCGGGTACGTGCTGCTGCTTTCCGCCGAAGATACTCGTCTCGAGTATCATCGCCTTCCTCAAGAAACGCGATTCCTCGACCTACGCGTCAGCTGTGGCGTTCTTGGAGCGCACTCTTTTCAGGGAATTGGGCGCTTACTCGACGACGGACGCGTGTGATACCTGTGACTGGCCGGCGAATCACTCGTGGGAATTTCTGAAGGTATACGTCAGTCTGTTGTGCCCGAGTGATCCGAAACTCTGTTATATTGTGATGGCGCACTTACTGAAGGTCACGTCTGGTTCCCGGTTTTACGTAAGAGAGCAACTTCTTCTCAAAGTCTTCTATCCAACCTTTCTGCGTGCCAAAGAGAGTTACATGACTGATAATGACAACGTAACGGCGAAGTTTCTTTTGCAGTCCTGCATGTCCGTTATGTCGTGTTTAATCGTAAACGCGCAGATGTGCGAGAAATTTATGGATATAAACGGACTGCACGAGATATTGCCTCTCATGACGGATGCAGCATTTACAAGAAGTGTTTATGCTCTTCTAGAAGTCACCGTGACCGTTGAGATCTGGAAGATATATTGCGAGGAGTCCGGCAATTCAGAGAGCACCGAAGCGCCGGCGACAAAGTCTCTCTTCGAATCTCTCGATAGAGAGACGAACGATTTGTTAAATAATTTACAATATTCTGAGAAATCAGAAATGAGGAGGAAAACGGAGCAGCAGAGCGAGAAGAATATAATCATCGCGCGTTCTGACAATCAAGAAACTCAACTGTTTCCTGTTGATGATTTAAAAGCAGAAATCGACGAGACAGCGATTGAAAGTCTCAATGACACAACAATTCTACCACGATTGCCTGATAGCGATACTCATCGTGAACATTCCGAGAACAAGACTGATACGGTAGTAACTTCGGATTCGAGAAATAATTCGTCCGAGAAGCTTCATACTCTTATAGAGCAAAATACGAAAGTGTGTGTCGATGCGGACGCATTGTTCAAGAAATTTAGCCTGCATCAGGCTAGCGCAGCGTGGAGGGCTGCCGCGGGCGTAGCGCTCTGCAGTCCGAGATTCCGCGCTGAATTATCTGCACATCCAGTGTCCAGGAAATCATTGCATTTGTTCAAGGTGTTAGCTGTAGGCATTGCCACGGACAGTATTGAAGGTACGTTGCAATGCGTGGAATGATAATACGTAAAACATTGTTATACATATTAACAAACGTATCGCATTTTTTATAGATACTAGTAAATCGGCGCATAAGCTCTTCGAGGCCCTGATTACATGTTGTCTGACGTCTCCCTTGTGTAAGTGTATTCGTGTTACGAATGCGATTAACAAAACACATTACGTACACGCCGATTGCGTATGTAGATATATATCGATCGCTCGCGCAGCTGCGAGCTTATAATCCAAAGATGTTTCGCGTGTTTTGCTCGACAGAAAAACAGTTCAAGGAACTGTTACAACTTAGATAGAACTTAGACAGATGGCAAACGTCATTCTGAAAATTTCAACTGCTCTAATCACATTCTCTGATTACGCGTTTCTTACTTATTCACTGTTTCAAATTTTATCATTTTGTTAATTTTGTTTGTAACAAGTGTTTTGTACCGTAGATGATTGTGACGTAGTCATGGAATTGGGAAAAACACTGATGAATACCGGGATAACGCTTGGTCGTGGAATAGCTGTGATAGTGGATGCGATGTTGAAGGTCTCTATGTTGAAGCCGGCGCAGGAAAATAGTATACCGCAACAGCCGCGTCCCAGAGTACGTTTTGACAAATTTTTCGAATTTTATGCAATTATTGTTGGAAGTGAAAAAATGCTAGATATTTATCAATTGCAGTTACCAACTATGACGTTGGAGGCTCCGTTGGATTACGGCGCGGACGATAGCAGTACCGGCGAATACGTGACTGCTGACGATGGATACGAAGCGGACAATGAGGTACCTGGAAGAAGTCCCAACAGTAGCGTCTTCAAAAGAAGCAGTCCTCTCGGGCCTGTAGTAGAGCCGAGAGGTCACGCTAATGCGCATCCCGCTTTATGTTCCTTGGCAATAGATCTTTTAATTCACTTCAGTGAACAGTGAGTTCTGCGTGAATCCTTTTGCAGATTTATATCAATGTGTTATGTTATTTTACTTCATAAAGCTTTTTTGCAGAGGTTTAAATTTAGAGAGAGCATCGATAATAACTGGTGGATTGCGAAGGGTCGCTGTCACTTGTCGAGAAAGTACCTCGAGTTGCGCTGCTCTCGCTGCTTCCGGAATTATTACGAAAATATTGAACGGCTTCAAAAACGTACTCACCAACGATGATCCACGATATCGAGGTAATTCTAACATTTGTGAGACAATTTTATACATTTATTAAGTATCAAATTTTTTTTCAGATTTGCAAAATGCGGCGCTGGAAGTATTTACATTGTTGGCGACGCAGTCAATCTCATCTAAGGAGCTAGTCATGTATCTATCTTTCTTTAAAGCAGAAAAACCACCGCTGCTACCATTACTGGAGCCGTTGTATCATCTGGTACTGGCAGCCCGGCCTCAACCATATTTTATCCTCTCATTTCCCATGCAGGGCGACATGAAAGCGTCGCCGAAGTTGCAGACAGAAGAACACAAGAATCTAGAGAAGGTCGAGAATCTCGTGAATAATTTCAAGAAGAAGCATCTTGCTGCGGGAATATGCAGTCCGTGGTCTGTGCACGCAACTTGTCTGCCTATTGGACCAGAGCTTGCCTGGCCAGTGTGGTTGCATGGCTGTTCCATTTCTATGTGGCTAAGGGTAGAGAGAGGATTGCCAATTGGCGGTCGTGCGACAACCTACAACACTTCGCCGTTGCTCGACTCAGACAGCGAAAGTTTATCCGACTGGGGTATTCTTTCGGACAATTGGAGCCGGGAAGGTTAGTAGAAAACAGTTATTAATCACGTCTCAAATTATTACAATTGCACGCCACCGCTTACATTGTGCGAAGAGGAATTTATTATTGTAATAGCAATAAGTTTGTTATTTCTGTGATTTGGACGCATTCACTTCAAATTGTCGTGGAAAGATCAATCGATGTCTGACCTTTTCTCGGGGTCGTCAGTTGTAGCTGGTTCCATGTCGCCACCCACACCAACATCGATAATACATTTAATGTCTGTCGGCTCCGAATCGCTAGTTTTGGAAATGTGGCTTGACCTCAGATCAGGTAGCGCTCGTATTCGTAATTCATTGATTGTTAACTAAGAAATTTGTACTGATATTTTATAGTTTTTAGATAAATTAATTTTGCGACTCACCCGCCCGGACGATAAGACGAATCGAACGATCTCCGAAACTTCGATAAACAGTATGCTTCCTTCGGGACGTTGGCATCACTTGACGTTAAATTTTAAAGATACTGTCTTGAACAAGCGCAGCGCTGTGGTGGAAGTCACGTTGTGGGTGGACGGTTGGAGAGAAATCAATGCTCAATTGCCATTTGACGGTTTATTGGTGAGGAAGCCTGGCACTACATGTATTTTGCTAGGTCAAATCGGGTCGAGCAGCATTGGCGCATGGTACCTCGGAAATTTAATGGTTTTTAGGTACAGTATTTTACTATTCATTGTCAAAGTAATTTTCGTGTAACAGAGTTACATATATACTTAATTTGATTGTTTTTTATAGATGTCCGGTATTTACGAAGGAGCGTGCGTTGTATCTAGCAAGTCTCGGACCAAATTACACCAATCTGGCAGATTGTATCTTAAACACGGTTAAACCTGATTTTGCACCCCTTATTGCGTCTGGCGCGCTAAATGGCGTTCGCGAAGTAAAGTATGGTAAGATATTAAATTATTAGCAGATATAATTTTATATCAAACATTGTAATATTTCAATCAAATCAAAGATTTTAATTTCTTTTTATGTAGAAGGAGGTAAATTTGATTTAAGCCGACGGAAATCTTACGGCGGCACTTATTTGAGACACGCCGTCGAGACAGTGGTGTCAGAATCGAAAATCGACTGGGACACTGTCATGGATGCCACAAATTCGCATCTTGGTGAACTGCAAGATAATCTACTTCTCAGCTACGAAGCTCAAAATCCAAATGTCGTACATTTATATCCTCAAGCCATCGCTAATCCTGCTGGTAAGTCACATGTTACTGTGTTGATGCGTTACTAATATAGTTATAGATTAATTGAATCTCATAATGTATTTTTATAGCTGTTGTGAGAAATATCTTGGCTCCGGGTCAACCGGGTTTTAGAGTTGTCTCGGCTCCGGAACACAGAGTATCACAGCAACCGCCTCTGTCGATATCCCCAATCGTATCTTTCCGTTTAGAGAGCCAGCAATATCGTGGACTTGTACCTGCAGCAATTCTAGTAGGCGGCGTACCGGTGTTTTTATATCTTTTCGCGAGGGTGAGCATTTTTTTGGACCTTCATATCTTATATAAAAATTAAAAGAAGATAAGGACGATAAAAGTATATATCTGGATATATTTTTTTTATCTACGAATGTTTGCGTAGGTGGTTGAATTAAATTCTACCGAGGAAGAGCAAGCCCTGGCCCTTTCCACAATTCTACATCTTGTTCGTAGCGATTCAGAACTTTTGAATCAATACCGATCCGACGGCGGGACGTCACTGGTTCTGCGTGTTCTAAAGTCCTCCAGGTGTCACACGGGTAGGCACATTCTGAAGGCGGTATTAGATGCGTCATGCGACAGCTCGATCATCATCAAAGACATCGGTGGCGGTAATCCCTCAATCTCCCAAAATTGCGAGGCAGTTATCACTGATCCGGAATTGATCAAGGGAGCACTTACCGCGTGGAGAGCGTGGGCGAAACGCGATACGTTGAATTTGCTGCTGCAAGCATTGTTACTTTTACTGAGAGATCAGCATTCACAGCGCGAATTTAATGCATCTCAATTGAACAGAGTCGGTATCGTGGATACGATTCTTACCTTGTGCAAGGTAAATAAAATATAATTTTGTATAGTGCTGTATCGTTGTATATATTTTGTAGTAATAACATTTCTTTGCAGGAACACTTCATGTACGAAATTCACGAAGAAATGAGCGCTGTGTTGGATTCGAGTACCGGAACTGCCATTGTAGAACTCGATACGTGCCTTGATGGGTGCACCACCCGAATTTGCTCACTTGGTTGCCATCACTGACTATTTAGTCCTCGTTCATCAAGCCTCGGAAACTTACGTCACTCATTCGCGGCACAATATCTATTTTATGTTACCGCAACTCAGGGAGAAAAAGACGAGCGATAATGTAGCCATTATTTCCTCCGACGACTCGACAGGCATGATGGAAAGTAGCAAGCTGAATAAGGCATTGACGAATGAACAGGTGTGACTTTTGGACATGTATAAAGTTTCTTTAATTGTAACAATTATCAAACAAATATTCAATTGTTCATTTTTCTAGATTCAGAAAACTCGAAGTCCCAAAAAGAAAGACCGTAAAAGTGCGCCGTTGACAGATAATACTAGTAACGAAGATTCCGGAATTGCAGCTAGTGACGGATCCAATGCTCAGAGCAATGTATGTGGTCGAAAGTTTCAATCTTTATGTGATATAGTTTTAAATGCTATTCATTCGCTCTATGTCATTATATAGGGAACACAATCAACGTGCGCGAATGAAAGAAGAGCTTGCCAAGGCTTAGTCTGCGAGGGACTTTTATTGCTACTGAGGGACGCAGTAAGAGTTTTACCGGATTGTCAAGTTGGATCAGTACTGAAGCACGTTTTAAGAGCCGAACTGTTATTAGTTTTAGCCAATGATCCCGATACTCGAGTTCGAACGGCATTGATCAAGGTAAATAATTTTCTAACGCTCTGCATTCTAAAATTTCTGTCGAGATACAGAGAAAGTGAAATGTTTCATCAGTGTTTCGCGATATTTTACAGGTGGTACAAACCTATCTACACCGTGCTAGCGATGAGGAAGTTAATAAATTTATAAAACAAAAGTATTTCATGCATCTAGGAAATCAGATAGCTTTATATCCCGGAAGCGAACCGCTGGTTGTTGCTTTAGAAAACTTAGCCTTGCGAGGTCCAACTCTGGCGGCAATGCCGCCGTTAATGGCGATGATGGCAAAAGCCGCAAGCTCTGATCCAAACGTTGCCAGGCCAATAATATCGTTTGTAACTGACGTGATAGCAAAGGTATAAGAATGAAAGACTCTTTCGGTAGCAAATTTGACACACGATTAAATTAATGTTTGTTATTTCAGAATATAAATGCACTAAAGATACTTCTAGAGCAAGGTTTAATCGAATCATTGGCGCAAGCTTTGATCGGTGCTGCGCATAAAGGTAACTCGATGTCCCTTCATCGAGATATTCATGTATTGCTCGTGGCAATCGCCACCAAGCTTCTCGAATTGCCAGGCAGTCATCAGATGCAGGCGGTATTAGATCTGCACGTGATACTCGATTACGTGGAACTATCGGAGAAGTTGCAATGTCGCGCGAGTTCGATTTGCGCGGCCATAAGAGATGCGCAAGTTGCATTATTTGACGGAGAATTGGACGTGCTTACGACTAAAATGTCAAATTCTTCCGGATTTCGTCTACGCAGTACGGCTTCTTATCTGGCTTCGGCTTCTTACTTTACTTCAGGTAATTGTGGCAAGGTTTCAGACAATTGCATATTTTATATTTTACACAAAAATTTACTTATAAAATTCTTTTCCAGTTCTCACAACGTCCAGTGATCAGAGTGATCATGGATCTCGTTCATCTAGCTATACAAGCTTACATACGAGCTCGTCCTCAGCACTGCGCGAACCTGGCAAAGGAGAACTGAACGATCGTTTTCGTATCATCGTGACACGTGCGGTTGAATTTATAACGACGATTGATGTGTCGCCATCAGTCAACGAATTGCAGTTAACGAAGAGATTGTTCTCTATTCTTCTGCACGGTCTATGCAGTCCATTGGAGAGGAAAAATCACTGGAGCAGCGCGTGGTCAGTCAGACCAGCTTTGAGAAAGTATACGGCCAGAATTATGATCTGGCTGTTGGAACCACATCAGAGTATCAATACGAGAGTGTACGCCATCAGATCTCTAATGGAAGAAGCGAGAGCCCGCGAAATCCTATCATGCATTTTAGAAGTTCATCCACAGGTATCTGTATTAATTAGTTCGAGCGATGTATTATACACACACACATCAAGACGCAAAATTCATTATTATCTGTAATATGTCTAGATGGAGCAAAAGTTCACTGTATTCTTCTGGGACTTGTTGCAAAAACGGGACGAGATGCCGAGCGCCGATGCCAGAATATGTGTGGAGCTAAGAGAAGCCTTGAGTGTGTGGAATCTCGCAAAAGGAATAGAACAAGCAAGTCCTGAAGTGTGGAACGACGAATTAGCTTTGTTACGTCGAGATCTGCTTCTAGATCGAGATATTTGTATCGACAATTATCCCGCAGTTCTAAGGTATATCGCGCTTATTCCAGAATATATATATTTAGCGTGTATTTTGTAAAGTAATTAATAGTGCAAGATAATTTTTTATATCAGAATCGGTAAGAGATTCGATGCATTGGCGAAGCAGTTAATCGAAAGCGCCATGACTATAACGCGATCAGTTGTGGAGGAACAAAATCGTGAGCGAAAGGTGTTGATGGAACAGCTGAAACACACCCGGGCGTTAGAAGCTCAAGCAGTAGCCAGATGGAGGGATATAGCCAAACGATTAACACACGAACGGGCGCCCTGGCACTTTCCCGAAAACTACCCGAGAAGTTGGGAATTAGATCCAACCGAAGGTCCTGCGAGAATCAGAATGAGACTTCAGAGATGTCACTTGAGTATTGATAAAAGATTCTTTTTGCCTGAACATCAGGATAAACTAGGTGCGTCTGTGCAAAGCTAATATTATCAAAACGTAACGTTGTCTGTTTTATTAGCAGACACATCAATTTTAACTTCAATCTTATATTTTGCAGCATCTTCCAATATCGAAGCACCGTTATCGTATTTATTTACGAACGCTCGCGAAGACACCAATACTGCGGCTTTGATCGAACGGTTACACACGAGCGAGAAAATACGCAAGATGTCTCAGGCGAAAGTTGTCACACCTGGTGCCGAATTAGCCGGAGAAGTTCTTATTGGCGAGACGTGTGTGTATTTCGTTCCGGATAACCCCGATGTGCCATTACATACAGACGTGAGTAATTCTTCTGTTTCTTGTAATCATAATTTTACAGTAAATCGAGACGAAGTTGTTAACCATTGTTGATTGTAGATAGCATTGGGTGGTTTCGATTTGGCTATGGCCGGCGGTACTGCTTGGCGTCTCGAGGATATTCGCGAATTACATAGAAGAAGATATCAACTACAAGAGAGAGCCATCGAGATTTTTCTCATTACGGGCAGAACATACTTGTTGGCCTTCAATTCGTCCAAGGAAAGGGACGAATTTGCGACGGAGCTGTCCACTTGCAACTTACCCAGGCGAATCCCAGGTGATGACTTGGGAGAGGCTCTAGCCTTGTGGAGGAGCGGCGCGCTCACTAATTGGGAATACATAACTTGCTTGAATAAACTGGCGGGCCGTTCGTATAACGACTTGATGCAGTATCCCGTGTTTCCGTTCGTTTTGGCGGACTACATCAGCGAGAAGATTGATCTGAATAATCCAAAAATTTATCGGTAAATAATATAAATGGAATATATATTTTCACGCATAAAAAATAAAATAAAATAAATAAAACCGTATTTGTATATCTTTCACAGAAATTTTAAACGACCGATGGCTGTCCAAGATAAAAAGAATGAGCAGCATTACATAAATAATTATAATGTAAGCAATTAAAAGCGATCACAAGAGTTATTATTCTTATTTGATGTTTTCCATAAAGTTGTTGATATACTTTATTTTCATACAGTACTTGAAGCAAACTTTAACAGAAGGATTGAACCTAATTGCCTTAAATCAAAGACCATTTCATTATGGATCTCATTATAGTAATTCTGGAACTGTGTTACACTTCTTGGTACGACTTCCACCATTCACTAGCATGTTCCTGTGTTATCAAGGTAAAACTACAAGACTATTCCTTTACAATAAATTTTGTAAAGAAATTGATTTAGAGAATTATTAAAATTCTGTTTCTATTTGCAGACAATAATTTTGATCTCCCTGACCGAACGTTTCATGCGTTAGCTACCACATGGAGATTAACTAGTTGCGATTCAACAACAGATGTGAAGGAATTAATACCGGAATTTTTTTATTTACCTGAATTTTTATTAAATTTTGAAGGTAAATAACAGTGTATACTGTAAATAATTTTTAAAAAATAACATGCTTGTAAAATAATACGTAAATACATTTATATTGTTGTAGGATTCAACTTTGGTGTTCGACAAGATGGTAACAAAGTTGGAAATGTAGAATTACCGAAATGGTGCAGCGGCGACGCGCGTTTATTTATATTGGCACACAGAGCCGCGCTAGAGTCGGATATTGTGAGGGAAGTATTGCCGTATTGGATCGATCTGGTCTTTGGCTTCAGACAAACAGGAAGACCAGCGGTAGAAGCTATAAATGTTTTTCATCCCGCTGTATGTTGTTTTTACATTGTGTTAAAATAGCATTGAAAAAAAATAAGCACTTATTACTCATTCTCTCCTTGTGTTTAGACATATTACGGATTCGATGTAGAGCAGATAGCTGATCCCTTGGAGCGTCAGGCTTGGGAAACTATGGTGCGAACTTACGGTCAAACGCCTGCACAGTTGTTCAGAGCGGCTCATCCGTTGATTCAAAATCTCGGCAATATTACACTTTCTAATCAGACACCGCAAGTTATCGAAGGAATCAGTGGTAATTATCATTTTTTTGGTGATTTATATTATTATGTATATCGATATTGCAAAATTACATATTAAATTAACTAAATTTTGTAATTGTCTGATGTAATTGCAGGTATAAAATGGGGAAATTACGTGGGCGCACCCGGCAATGAACCTGTATTATGTTGGAAGCTGAAACATAAAACTCCACTAGCTTTTCTAGTTCCTCTGGCAACTGGCGACGTTTTTGGTTTGCCTAATTACACCACACTTCTTTTGGGATATACCAAAGAGAAAGGTTATTGATTTATATTATGATTGTTGCGTATTATTATTGCGCTCTTTACACAATCTTTAAATACAGATTTGAGTGTAAGCTTCTTATGTTATCAGGTAGCAGTATGTTAAGCGGCATGTCTGTATTGGGCGCCGCGTTAGCGTCATGGAGCGGAACAGATGGAATTGCTAGATTAAAATGTAAGAAAGAACAACCACCAAGGCCTTTAATTAAATCCTCAGGCCTTGATCCCGTAAGTATCTTAACACATACCTCACAATAAAATATCATTAAAAGTTAAATGAGTATGAATCAAAAATCGCAGAAAAAAATATTGTTTTTTATAAGATTATTAAAATTTCATCTAAAATGGAACATTAAACGCAATGTCTAATTATTGTTCAGATTACGATAATGAGATCTGCTCCCGACTGCGGACAACTTTGGATTGGACATTTATCAGGCAGAATCACAGTACATACGTACACTATCGGAGCTACGGGCAAAATCGATTTCAATCCAGTATCTGCAACGGTGCTTCTAGCTCACAGAAGCCGAGTGACAGTGATATCTCTATCACGTGCGTTTAGCATTGCCTGTTCCGGCGATGGCAGTGGCGTCATTGTTATATGGGATTTGAATAGGTATATAGTATAAAAATATAAAGCCTATAGTATATTCATAGCTTAATTTTATTAATACATCCTTATTCTTGTACAGCTTAACGTACGTGAGATCGATAGTCTGTGATCAAGAGTATGCTATACATCTTCTGTGTATCAGCGAAACACTCGGGGATATAGCAGTTACTTACGAGATTCCTAGATCAGGTCAGAACACCGATCAATCCGAACTGAGAGTCTACACTATAAACGCGACGGCTGTGGGTTCCGTTTTATCCAGAAGACGTATAACGGCGCTTTGCTACAGTAACGCGCCAGAAGGTGTTTCTGTTAATGTTATTGCAACTGGATTAGACAATGGAATAATAAGGTACAGCGCATATGTGTCATCTTCTTATATCTCAAATTAATTCTATCTTATTTAACAAAAATATGTTCCTGAATAGATTATGGAGCAGTTGGGACTTGCAGTTGGTTAGAGAATTTTCGAATTTGATGAAGAATTGTGGTGCAATAATCGCTGTGGCATGGTCCCTGGATCAGCATCATTTATACGCGGTGACGGAAGATTCCACTGCCTTTATATGGGAGGGATCTAAGTGTCTTAACAATGGTACACCAAAGTTTGTCAACTTAACATCTTTCTGATTTATAGAATTGTTATCCGAACAGTTTAATACTGACACGACGTAATGGGTTATGAAATATGAAAGTAACTTATACACATAAAGAGAAAACGAGAAAACATGGATTCATAAAAATTGATGTTATTTTATGTTATTCTTTATATTGCATTTGTAATATTTCTAACTGTTTTTGATCTTTAGTCTGATTTGATATGTGATTATTTTTCTGTTCTGTGTAATTACTTAAGAATTAATGCTTTAACAACAAATTACACTCGAATTTTTTTATTCTTATTGTTAGTCATGATCATGACATGTATTGAGAAAAGAATGAACAATGTAGTATTATTTTATTGATTCTTTGGATGTAATGATTATAGCTCTAATTACATATGAATCATATTTTTATATACTTTTATATCGGAGCATATATTATAGCCATATAGATTATATGTCTCATTGTTTAATAATGTAATTTATGAATATAAATTTTTATAAAATAACAAAAATTGTACATTTACACAAACATTCATCCTTCCATTCTTGCTCATATTTCTGACATGTATATAAATATATGTATGTTAAATAAATGTTTGTTGCATTGAAATGCTGTGATGTCATTTATCGAGATAGATACAGCTGTTTACCTTAAAATTCATTTAGGCAAGGTTCAATTATTTCGTACATAGGATAGTATTTTGTTGTTCTTCTTGCAATTTGATCTGCAGTATCCCCACTGGAGTTTATTATAAAAGGGTTTGTATCCGGGTGTAACAGGAAAAGTTGTAGAGCAGGAGAATTGTGTGAACTAGCGGAAAGCACATGTAAAGGTGTTTGATCTCCTTTGCTTTTAGCGTTTATGTCAGCTCCGTTTGCGATTAAAGCTTCAGCACATTCCACATTGTTCCAACAGCATGCAGAATGTAGAGGTTGCCAATCATCTTGAGTTTTAGCATCTACTTTTGCTCCTACTTCTAGTAAATACTGTTAAGATAAAGATAAGATGTAAAATTTAAATTGTTGGGTAATTTTCTAAATAGTAGAGATATAAAATAGTTGTATTTTTCTAAATTACCTCTACTACTTCTAAATTATTGCTGTAGCATGCTCTGTGAAGAGGAGTATAGCCATCTTTATCAGTACATTTCAGCAATTGGTGATTTTTGTTTAATAATTTCTTAATTTTTTCTAGATCTCCCTTTTCAGCAGCAGTCAACATCGCTTTAGCATCAGGTTCTGAAATAAACACAAATGTAATATCAGCACACAATTTTAATAAAAAAATATTTTAAAGATTTATAAATTTGTGAACACAATATTATTCTTTTTCGTTGCAGTCTCACAAATGTTTTTAATCTATGCAGTTGATATAAAGCTTATCAGAATCCTAACCTTTCGCATTACGTTCTGCTTCCACACCGTCATCATCATCCTCCCAGGCACTAACTTGCATGCGTTCACTATGTGGTGTGCTAAGAATCTTATCCCGTATCGCCTCCAAGTCTTGTAATTCATCGTTCTCTTCATCCGATGACATACTTGCTTTGTTTACAACTCGTCAGTAAAGCCCAACTTTTTCGTAACGCAATATGGAAGCACGTGTAGATGTATTAGTCATCTATCAATGTTGGTGCTGTAACATTATGCTATTAATAATATCGGATTTCTTATTATATAATATAACCAATATTATGAATATAATATCGTATAAATAAATTAATTCAAATAATTGCAAATAGTATTTTATAATAAATCAATTTCCAATATTGGCGCACAATTTTTTAGAATATGTTTAAACATTTGACATTTTAGTAACATAACATTTGAAAAAAGCAATTTTGAAAATCTGTCAGAAGATCATAATTTCTATAAAATGGATTGCTTAAAATTATTAGAAACTTTGGACGTGCTCGGTTGTGCCGGTATTTGTGTAAGTACCGAGAGTTCGCAGTTACTACAAAATTCACTACTTATTCTGCAGGCAGAAAATCATTTTCGGAAATGTTATTACTGGGGTAGAATTAATGGACTTCGAAACGACTATCATATCGCGTATGGTTTCCAGAAAGATTGCATGACTGGCCAGGTATATTACTACAGGTGAGAACTCTCAATTTTGCAAACTTTCCAAAAGCTTTATCAATTTGATTAAAAATCAAAAAATAAAAATTTATGTTTATACTTGTAGCACTGATGGCATGAATTGGCTGTTGCTGCCAAAAGTGACAAAGTGCGGTCGATTCCTAACTCCTTTGGCGATTAATAAATTTGAAGGCGATCCATCTATCGTTACAAATGTTTATAACATCAATCCACCGTTTCCACCAAACGAGGATCCCAAAATATATTATGACGTAATTGCAAATAGTGATGCTTCTAAATTTTCACTGAAACATTTATTAAAAATTAAAGAAACTATTTTAAATAATGCATCTTAAGAGTAATTCATATAATTATATATTTTTAAGACTAGTTTAATCTATGTAATAAAAAAGGTATTACATGGTATATAGGGTGTTATGCCAAAAGAATTGAAGGAAGAGGATCGTCTTGCTTCTACCGTGGAATCAATTACAAAAGATGCTGCAGTTATTCCACGAGGAGCCTGGTTCAAATGTCCAAATGGCGATGTAATAGAAAATCCAAGCTTTGAGGGTCTATGCGCTACAGATGCTTCATATTTGAAATCCTACTTGCATGCTTATCCTCCAAAGGAGAAATGGAGCACCAATTTGCTTTCCCAGCCTGATTATAATTATGCAACGGATTTTTTAGACTGCATAGCCATGGATGTTCCTCGAGGTAAAACTGGAAGCAATAAGAGCAATTCTAAATTAAATACAGAAATGAAAACTGTATGGTATAATAATAATTGACAGATTAATGTAACAATAATTTATTTTTAGGGTGTTGGAATCTGCAATTCTTGTTAGGCGGTCGTCTGGCTATATTACACAGCTTATATTGGCACGGAATAACCTTTTTCCATAAGTTGAATTCTCCACATTATGGATTTCTATACATTGGTGATGGAAAAAAGAATTTAGATCTTCCATTCATGTTGTAATATGAGATATAAAAGAAAATGGAAGAGTAAAAAATATTATACTTACGATATACGTAATAATAAATATTTATAATATAATGTTGAATAATTTAAATTTCGAGCTTAAAGTATATAATTTCATAGTATAATATTGTTTCACAGTGTACCCAACGTAGTAGAATGATATAAATTTATTTTATACATTGCATGCCCTGCCACATGAAATATTTGGCTAATTGTGACAAGAACGTGATTGGCCAAAATGAATAACTTGCAATGTCATTATTGCTAACTTCCCTTTTCCGGTACGAAAACCCATTGTTCGGTTGTGCTCTCGTTCGTGTCCACTTAATATCTGTTATTTTCGCAATAATCCATTGAATTTCGTACTTCTTATGAAACGTGTGCATCGATGCGCCGATCGGAAATTCAGGATTCCGCGAAATGAGACTTGCATCGTTGAAAAATGGTTTGAATCGCGAAGAGCTGTACAGAATACTTCTGATTGCCGCGGGTAAGTCGACATTTTGTAATATCCGTAGCAAATAGAAATAAAATATCTGAAATTTTAGCATTGAGTTTAATATTCAATGAGAATTTTTGTTCGAATAAAAAGAGAGAATTTTATATATTATGAAATATTACAAAGATGTTCTAATCGTCGAAAGATGCGTATCATTCGGCTGCTCGTCTAATTTATTGAGTGTTTTGTTCTTATAATTTGTACTGTATTTATAAAAATTAATACAGATAAAATAAATAGAAACATATTAAAATCTATACGAATAAATATTACTAAAGAAATATATAAGAAATACAATATAGAGAACATATTCATAACATAAAATTATGAGCCATAAAATATAAATTAATATTAAACTATTGCACATTGCTACGTATTTTACGTATTAAGATCTAAAAAATATTGAAAAATTTCAGATTAGGAAACAATTTCTTGGCTCAAGCGAAAAATGCTCGGTTCAAATTTATCGTGATTTCGCGCGCTATTTTTTACGTAGATAATTGTGGACGCCGTCACCAGATGGCGCTAATATTGCGATACGAGCGCACCTAACCGGCCGGGTTGTAACACAGAAGCGCAGTTGAGCGGCCATGTTGAATGCAGTGACCGGCTTCTTGGTGAATGTGTGAAATGTACGTTGGTTGCGAGTGATTCGGAGGAACGACCTGTGCTTTCTCGCGGATTTGACAAGGATATTTCGCCGCGTACGGTGAGTGCTAGCATGTAATTTTATTCTGTGCGCACCACAATCATAGACACGTATGTCTTCGCGCCGGAATTTCCATTACTTCGAGCGTTGTATTCTGCGAAACTACGAATGCAACGCGTCCGGCCGGCTTTGGAAGCCGGCTTTGCTTAGAAAGCTGATCAGCGACACGTGGAGATCTTATGCGAAAACTCATTGCCGAATATACGGTTCATTAGATCCCGCCGTGAAACGAGAATGCACGATTTATGATATTCTCAGAAAAGTACAGTCTTACTTCAAGTTTTTTTCGACAAATGACAAGCGATGTCTATGAATTTGGCGATTAGTGCACAAATTTATACTTTATCTGTATGTTAATAAGAACTTATGGCTCTTTTGCTGGATTCGATTCGGGCTCTGTAGTAATTTTTTCAAAGTACAGAACATTTTTCGACATTTTTTGCAAAATAAAAATTATAATTATTACGCTGAACAGAATAGTCGGAAGAAACGTTAGTTGTTTCCAATAATTGAGATTATTGAGAGGTACTTAAATTGCAATACGATGATAATCAACACATACAATAAAAAAAATTACATTTGAATTAAAAAATATCAAATTTTTATCAATTATGGGATCATTGAAGTAAAGCATATGTCGGCTTACCATATGTGTGTGTGTGTGTGTAGCTGGCATAAGATATTTATTGTCGTCTCTTGTTTATGGACATTCTCCTTTTTGTATTTACACGATGGTATTTATGCGACGCGTCGTCGCGTTCGATTCAAGGTTAGCAGGGTCAAAGAGAATTACGGACCTGTCGTTGCTTGGCAAGAAACACATTTCTTACTCTTTTCTCCCTTTGAGAAACACCTAGAATTAATTGTCTTAAATCTATTTGCTATTTTAAATTTGTTCTGCAACATCAAATATTCGATAGAAAAAAATTCTATATTGTTTACGTAACTGTTTATACGTTTGATATCAGGCATGTGTAATTATTATTTTTTTGCTAATATATTTTTATTCGGAGTAACAAATTAATAAATAAAATATTGATATTGCGCACGAAAAGTTGTACATTAAATATGAAAATAATGTATAAAAAATATTCGAGATTAATTTATTGCCAGAAATCCGAAGGTTTAAACAGTAATTGAATTAAACAATTTGTCACAACAATGTGAGAAAATACAATAATTTAAAAAAATTAAATTTAATCGAGATATTTTCTCCAATTATATTATATATAATTAAAATATTCGCCTGCGGGAATAAAAGTATATGAATTTTCGTGATTTATTTTGAATATTTGATGTATTTAGTTCTGATTTTACAAATTATTATTGAGATTTTTAATTTTATAAGCTTTAGACAGAAAGTTTATAATTTGCTGCAAAATTTAACAGAGAAATCTACTTGGAATTTTATATAATAGTCAACATTTTATAAAAAACGAAATACATAAAATACATATCACTAATATATATTTCGTGGATATGTTCTGATTTTCAAATGTTTCTTGTATTGTATAGTGTAAAAGACTTATATTTTTTAAACTCATAAATTGTGAACTGTCGAAAAGTTACGTTATCTATATAATTATATATTCAGTCGTATGTATTTATGCAAGTATATTGTTTATATAACTTATAAATTATTCTTTGTCTGATCGTTGAAACCATTTAAATTCAATGGTCGTTCTCCGGAGAGCGGTCATTCACTGGTATGTCTTATGTATTTATTCTGTGTAATGAATCTTACAGCTGCTTTTATATAATTTTTCTTCTCATCTTTCTCACACAGCTAAGAAAACTGTTATTAATTTCACGATGCTGATTTTACTTTTCATGGAATCAGAGTGACAATGTGGTTTTTTATTCGTATCTGTAGTTCTCATGATCGTCTAGTCGTTCAACGTACGACGCATTCCTTTCGTGCGTTTACAGATTCGATTTATTTTCGTCCGTCGAAGAAATCAATGATGAGCTGATAACTTCTTCCTTTCTCCTTTTCCTTCTGCTGCTGCTCGCTGTAGAAAATCTTATGGCTGTCTTTTCTGATTTATATGCACGGCTTGTACGCATGCGATCGTGTAGTCGATTCCGAGCACGGATCGCGAGTTCCGGTTCCTATTCAAGTGGTATTCTCCGCATCCCGGCGAATACACCGTGTCTTCGCCCCCTTCGCCTTCTCTTCCTCGTATTGCCACGCGTGAATTTTGTTTGCTGCAATCCTGCGGTATTCGCTTAAGCATCGCCATATCTTTCATTTGAAGTATTCTACGAGCAACTTTCATCATTGCATTGTTTAAAGAAATTACAGGTTTTTACAAGCCAAATTCAACTTTTATTATTTCGCTGCTTTTACTATTTCTCTTTTTTCCAATCTATTAATTCTCTGCTGTAAATGAATTTCTCTGGTTCTTACACCGACAAAGAAACGGTTCAGACATAGCTCGGGAAGACGCTAACGAGCATTTAATTGCGGTGAAATTAACGCTGGCAAAATATTACACAAACTGCCGATAAATGAAACATTGAGTTATTATGATAAATGTTACAAATTGAATTGAATCGAAATTGAATCGCGACGATTGTACAGTACGACGGGGAGAGAAAAAGAGAACAGAAGACGATACGCGATCGATAGATGTTTGGTACAGCTCTGAGACTCGCCTGCTCTTGTTGTCGCTCTTTTATCGTCGATTAGCATCGGATAGCTGTCCGCGTCGCGTTACGGCGTTTCGTAGAAGGAAAATAAATATCGCATTGCCTTCGATCCATACGATCACGCGGGAGAGGCGCACTTGCCTTCTTGGATTCGAGATATTGAAACCTGCGGTTGTCGACCCCGCCCCGACACGCTTGTCGTTTTCTTTTTCAACGCCGGCGAACGTTCGAGGTGAAATCCTCTAACGGGATTTGGAGTAAACCATAAAAACGGGCGCGAAAGGCATTGCGGCATTGAGTTTCTTTGTTCCGGGCGCGCGTTGGCAGGAAACCTACACTTTGGCGCGGCCGAGTGTCGATTGGGGAAGATGTAAACACCGCGAAAAACATTTCAACAGTTTTCCTTGTTCACGGTAAATAGAACGGGAGAACACGGTCAGTTTGTGGATCTAAATTTGATTAACACGAATCTGTTGGAGTCTTACAAACTTTCAGCTAAATTTATATTGTAAGATCAATTTCTTAAATAAATTTTATTTAATTCGATAAATCTTTAATTGTATAAAAAACAAATATATTTCTTGCAATCTACAATATTTTCATATACTTTTCGAGAAGATAATTAGTGTTTCATTAACGATATTGAATATATTCAAACTGAAAAATATTAAATTAAAGGAAACAGTAATTTTTTACACGATTATATACGTCATTTTAAAATAATGTGTGATTTTTCCGTGGAAAAGAGGAAATATACTTTTCGGCTTTAGTCACAACGACCAGTATTGATTTATACACATAAGTCAGGGAGTTCTTAGCCACAAAGGGGGGGGGGGGATAAAAGTAAGATGAGACGCATGAATGTTTCAACGTGACGTCGCCGGTAGTAACAACAAATTATAACGCGATATCTCGGGCATGTATGTGCGGAATGGCGAGCCTGGAGCGCGTCCGTGTATGCGTCGTTTGTTTTGTTCGACAGCGGTAACGTCGTCGTAATACGAGAAGATATTGTCCACTTGACAACGGTGAGCCACCGCGAATGGACGAGCCGCACTCCTCGCGCGCGTGATGTTTCATTCCAGGCTGCTCTCTTTCTCGTTATACATCAAACACATACAAAAAGCCGCATTCCACTCTCCCATAAATATATCAGACTTAACCCTTCGATAGTGTAATTCTACTGGTGGCTGTGGGAAAAATTTAGAATTTTCTTATCTTGAAGAAATATACTTTGAAACTCTATATTTCTCTTCGAGAAAATCGCCTCTAATTTTCCAATAATTATTACGCCGACGTGCTAACAATGTATTCTCCGACAAAAACACTCCGAGTTTTTCTCTTCATAATTTACATAATGGAGACTATCGCGGAACAACATTCCAGTCCACTGGATTGGCTAATGCTTATGGCACATTCGGTATCTTAATAATTATCGGTAATTGGTGAGGCCTGTCCGATCGTGACGTGTATTCGGCGCGCCTCATCTCGGTCAATCGATCTCAAATGTTATCTACTACCTTCTCACACACTCGGTCTTTTTTTCGTCCATGGAATTCCGAGCTCTCGGATCTACGAGGATCGGAGGATGCGTTTCGTAACGTTCGCCAGGTAGAGACGGGCGGGGCG